CTTGGCCATCGCCCAAATGCAAGCGTTTCTAAAATATTCCATGGAGTCTCTTCCAAATTCAGGTAGAGGGGTGCAAAAAACGGACGCGGAGGAGAGTCCTAGCCGTAAATTGGAGAGAAAGAAAGAGAGAGAGAGAGAGAGAGAGAGAGAGAGAGAGAGAGAGAGAGAGAGAGAGAGAGAGAGAGAGAGAGAGAGAGAGAGAGAGAGAGAGAGAGAGCGAGAGAGAAAAAAGAAGAAAGGGAGCGAGAAAGAGATCAAAATATCTATGTATGTCCATAAAACATTACTTCAGTCCCCCGGGAGTGTTTTGCCGGTGCCCAAACAGGCGTCTACTGCTGGCGCACCGTACCTAAAAATAAAAAGGCCTGGTAATATGAAAAGGCGTACCTTCACAAAACATCGCTAGGTGACACGTCACATGCAATCAAGCCATAGTCACTGAGATAGTGGTTAGGTGGGATTGTGGGGTCCAAAATTGCCGCTTGCCAACATGTTAACTCAGCAACCTGTCACTTATGTCTTCAGCATTGTTCTTATCTCAGCGAATATTGCCCATTAGATGTTTGCCGCCGATTTTTCATCCCGTTTCATGCCTTGTACCATTGCTGCTCTGTACATGTGCCTGCTACCGCCACGCTGATGCTTATCTGTGCCGCGTCATGCCCGCTGCCAGTGCCAGCAGCTGCCGCAGCTGCTCCTCAGCCAGCCGCCCTTGCCGTTGACATTTCTCACGGCAGCGACATTCGATAAAATCTCCTGACTTTTCCCTGGCGGTACACGCACGTCCTGACCCCGCCGGGGGAGGGGGAGAGGCCATCACGTAACGGGGCGTCCCTCTCCGCGGACGTGGTCTGGCGCGGCAGTACGCCGGCCTCGCGTGGTACCGCTGCCGAGGCGTGGTGGCCCGGCGCGGGTCCAGCCCGGCCGCACGCGGCAGCGCACAGGTGGAGCATGTGGACAGAAACCGGCGCGGGTCCAGCCCGGCCGCACGCGGCAGCACCCAGGTGGAGCATATGGACAGAAACCGGTGCGGGTCCAGCCCGGCCACACGCGGCAGCGCACAGGTGGAGCATGCGGACAGAAACCGGCGCGGGTCCAGCCTGGCCGCACACGGCAGCGCCCAGGTGGAGCATGTGGACAGAAACCGGTGCGGGTCCAGCCTGGCCGCACGCGGCAGCGCCCAGGTGGAGCATGTGGACAGAGGCCAGGGCGGCGGGGCTACCGCATCTTTCAGTAACAAAGGAGTGATATTCGCGCTGGTCCCTGTGAGTATTGCCGACCATTACACCCGCTTGCCACATTCCCCAATCACGTGTAGATGACGGTCCACACCAAGTCTTGCTGGCTGATAACCAGTTAACAGGAAACAAGCCACCTCTCAGCAAGTTGAAATGCTAAAAGTGAGTCGGCGCGTGCACGACAGCGCCAATTCAGACACGGCCAGTCTGGCGGCGACTCCGACGTCATAAAAACGGTAGATGACGAAATCAAATGATGGCGTATTTAGGAGCACATCTACTAAAAAGAGAAGGTGTGTTATCTAGAGAAATTTTTGGAACCTTAAGAGCATACCAATAGTTACAAGTAAGCGTTTTTCATCTATCTGAGGCCTGTTTTCACATCTTCAAATGTGGAAACTTCAGACCATTACCCAAATACATGCTTACACATCCCAGTCATTTTGTTCAGATTGTGTGAGCTACCTCAAAGTCAGTTGCACGATTTAACATGGTGTGACACTGACGCCACTTACCTTCGCGAAAGTGACAGATATTATGCTGGTCATTATATAACCACTCTATGCCTTGAGAATAACGATATATCTTGACCTGGAAAATACGGAATTAAGAGCGCATCACACGTCGTCAATTTGCCGCGTTTTCCAGCGTAGCCCTTTGAAGGAGGCGTCATAAGGTCGCTGGAACCACAAACATACCGGATGCAAACTCCGGCCAAAGGCACGCCTCGGTCGCGTCTTGTGAGCGAAATAGTTCTCACAACGAGCACTTAGAGATGCAGGAATTGCATTGAACTCGATTCATGTTGTAAGTGGCGTTGATGGAGCCAGCAGTGACTTGGTCTCAAAACTCTCATACCATGCACCATTTTTTGTGCTGTCTTTCGCAAGCATGTATTTGCTCTCCAGCTCCCGACCCTGTTGCGATATCATACATTTGTCTCGCATCATCACTCTTCGAGGTACATCAATGTGCGGATTATCCTAAAAATAGCATTAGCAGAAGCATATGTCTCATTCCTTTGAAATGGATATCCAAGATTACAAATATTTCGATAAGTTAATTAGTATTTATACACATCCTGATTATGTGTAATAATGGACAAGTAGACGTGAAGAATATGGACATGAAGATCATAAGTGATCAGGGACGAGGGTGATCTCGTATGATAGCTCTCATACGTCAGGGTGTATAAGATGAATAGCAATGGCCAGAAGCTTCGGATTTAAGTCCGACATGTCTTAGTGATCGATGATCATTCGTTGATTAGAAAGCATGATTATTCCAACATGATTGAAATGCATGTTATCTTAACATTTCACGGATAAAAACATTTTTGCCACGGAAATGGACTACTTTCATGGTTTAATAGCAAACTACATTTTTTCATTCAGACTATCCCGATTTTAAATCGTTCTAGCAATTGTGACAGATATTGCAACACAATATACACTTGAAACGGTAGCAGTACAAGCAAGAAAAAAGAATGACACTGTAGCTTCTAGTAATCTTATTTTGCATGTTGGAAATGGGCATCAAACCTGCGCTTCATTACACGCACATAGCTTACTTCATAAACGATGTTTTCAAAGACAAAACAAATCACACAGTGTTTCACAACTTATGATCTCCTCACCAGACTCCCGCTGTCGGTCATAGCCGCCCGAGATCGACGCATCACAAGTCAAAGCTGTCTCCAGTGCAGCACATTCACGATTCTGACCCAGGTCCTTCGGCCGTACATGGCTGTCTAACAACAGACACAATGGTATTGTCTGGTTCACATTCTGTCACAATCACGCCGTCTACGTAGAATCTGACATCTAAAACCTGAGCGAAATGGCTCTGCATCTCCACCCAGCTCCCTCTCACCTAGCTCCGTCTCTCACGCCACTTCTTCCGTCGTGGTCCCGGGCCGAGTGTGTGTTCACGAAAGTGGAAATGCATTCGCGGTAGTAAAACAGGGAATGTGTTCATGGTGTTGAATCCAAGCGTCCATGACGTTGATAGTGCTTTCTCGGCGCTGCGAACGTGCACATTGGACCACAGCCCGGAAAGCCATAAGCTGTCTCCATTGTGATAGCTGGCGTCACTATTGATGCGTACTGATTCACGCAACCCACATTAAGGTACCGTGTGCAATAGGCATGGGCACACGACACGCACAAAGCACAACGCATACAATATAGACTATCCCCAGGCTCGGACGATTAGCGTTGTAAATAATCTATCAAATTCACACACTGCACGTCATGCCGTACACATTTTTCTGTCGTGTCACAAACCAAATTAAGCCTACGAAACATCCAAGCTCAAGTTGTCTACTTGACATGGACTCGAGTATCAGCCAGGGTTATCGGAGCGGTGTGCGTCTGCGCAGAACAAGCCCTTGTGCTTGGTTATGTGTTTGGTCTTCTTGTGAACGCATCCCCACTCCTCTGAAAGCTTGCGCTGCTGGAGTGGAAACCCAGCCGAGACTCCCCTGCAAGCGGCGACGGTGGACGTTAACGCCACGTCACGGCAATACGTGTCCAGCTTAGAGGACCGACACTTCCAAATGATCTTTGGCTCAAAATCAGATGCTTTTCAAAGTTGAGGAGACGCCTAAGCTAACGAGAAATCTAACGAAGAAAAAGCATTACACACAACAAAAGACCGGATGGAGGGCGCACAGGTCTGAAACACGGTTTTTGATTATTATTATATCCATTGTGCTCTGAACTCCGTTATTATATAAGCACAATTCATCACTGCAGTCTATGGGGGTGTCAAAATCTTCTACCTCCATTCAATACTGAATGTGGCTTGCGCTGACTGCGATCGGTCTGCATTGCCCTGTCTGATTTTAAGACCGATTTGCGGGCGGCGGCGCAGCGTCTAGTGGTGCGGATGCATTCGGGCAAAAGTTCGCCCGATGAGAAATCAGATTTATCAGTAGAAACTACTCGATTCCGTTCGCTTAACATATCCGCGGCGTACGCTGTCACCCTAAGGCGCAAGAAGGCTAAAATGGTTGATTATTTGTGCGACAGTAGATATGACAGTGATACGCGCGCGTGCCTCTTTCGCTGTGCGGACAGTGAAGTCTCGTCGGCAGCGATGTGCTGCGGCCGAAGCAGGAGTGCCGCATAGCGAGATGAAAATGGAACGACTTTCCACTAACACAAAGGAGCCCAACCAACTGATTAACTGACCCAGAGAAATGGAAAGGCACCCAAATGAACCAGGAACAGAATGGATTGCTGAGCACAATGTGCAGCAGACTGTTGGCATAGCCACGTCTTGGGAATGCGGGAGCAGGGAGATAAATGGCGAACTAGAATAGATCTTACCCGAGCAGTGTCTTATCTTGGAAAGAACGCAGTAATTGCTCATGTCACATTTATTGCTGGGGGACAGAAGGACATTTGGACAAAATTTGCGGGAATATGCACCGGTGGCTACACGCATGAAATGAAACGTAACTTTCCACTAGCCCCGAGGAACAGGACATGTCCATAGGTACCCAGTGTACTGGAAGTTTATCTGCCTGCTCCTTCGTAATGATGCAGGTCTCTCCTTGCCCTGTGTAGCGTCCCGTCCCAGCTACTGACCCTGTGTAGCGTTCCTTCCTCTGCCACTGACCCTGTGAAACGGAGCGTCCCGAGCCCTGTCACTGACTGAGGAACGGGGCGGCTCGTACTCTGTCACTGACTGAGGAACGGAGCGGCTCGTACCCTATCACTGACTGAGGAACGAAGCGAGCCATCCTCAGCCACTGACCGAGGAACACGTCCCTGGCCGGCCACTGACCATGAACGGAGCGTCGCGGCGGCCGGAGCGGTGCCAGGGGCGTGCCCAGCCGGGCGTCGGGAGCGGCGGACTCCGGCGCCGCCGGCTGGGTCATCAGGACGCGGTCGGGCGGCGTCCGGCCTGGCGGCACACGGGGGAGGCTCAACACGTCACCCCTCCTGGCGGCCCCCGGCCAGCGCCACACCCAGCCGGCCTGGCGGCACACAGGGGACGGCTCAACACGTCACCCCTCCTGGCGGCCCCGGCCAGCGCCACATCCAGCTGGCCTGGCGGCACACAGGGGACGGCTCAACACGTCACCCCTCCTGGCGGCCCCCGGCCAGCGCCACATCCAGCTGGCCTGGCGGCACACAGGGGACGGCTCAACACGTCACCCCTCCTGGCGGCCCCGGCCAGCGCCACATCCAGCTGGCCTGGCGGCACACAGGGGACGGCTCAACACGTCACCCCCCTGGCTGACTGGAACGGCCCCCGGCCAGCGCCACACCCGGCCGGCCTGGCGGCACACAGCGGGAGGCTCAACACGTCACCCCTCCTGGCTGACTGGGACGGTCCCCGGCCAGCACCACACCCGGCCGGCCTGGCGGCACACAGCGGGAGGCTCAACACGTCACCCCTCCTGGCTGACTGGGACGGTCCCCGGCCAGCACCACACCCGGCCGGCCTGGCGGCACACAGGGGAGGTTCAACACGTCACCCCTCCTGGCTGACTGGGACGGTCCCCGGCCAGCACCACACCCGGCCCGCCTGACGGCACACAGGGGACAGCTCAACACGTCAACCCTCCCTGGCCGGCTGGCCAGAGGTGTGACGGCCGCTAGCCAGCGCCACACCCGGCCGGCCGCTTCCGTGTCATGTCACAAACTATGAGATATGAGCCAGCGTGCGTTTGGTAGCCGAGTGTTATGTATCTGCTGTCCGGTATATTAAGCTGTTGTTTGTGACCCTGCAGTCCGCTCCTAGTGCTCGTGCGATTGTTGCAAACACGATTTGAACTTAGTGGTATATTGGCTTCATGGTTATCGTAATCATGGGCGCAGCACATGTCAGCTAACATTTTACACGAGGACGACCTCTCACCCTGGATGCGGAACGCCAAATAACTAAGAATGAAATGTTGATTGTGTCGTCATCTGGAACTTTCAGATTTCTCAGATCATTAACCGCTTTTCGGTATACGAGCTGGTCTCTCACATCTGGGCAGTTATCTGCCTTCCGGTGTCATTTCCGCAAATATCAGTGCCTTGGTTCTGTGGTAGATCCGCTACTGCATTTTTATTCACGGTAGTGAAACTCTATCAACCGCTCTGTGATTCGACAAGTCATCATCTACGCGATTAAAATCAGAATGGAGCACCACGAGCTTGATCATGTTTTCCATCCGCTAGAGAAGTTGGACAGCTCCCTTGAGAGTCCCGGCAGGGTGATGGAGCGCACGACCTTGGGTAACCAGGGATGCCAGCTCGCGAGCTCTGGCTAATCTCTCGTGCTCGAGAGCACAACGGCAGAGAGCACGTCTTCCCTCACGTTCTCAAGTCCGTGCTGCGAGGGGAGACGGCTCCTTTGTTGATGAGCTTGGCTAAGAGTAGTGTCCCCGTTTCAGACCTGTCGCGCCTCCCCGTGACCCGGTCGGTGCGCTGTCCCCTGACCTGCTACGGTCCCCGTGGCTCGGTCGGTGCGCCGACCCCTGACCTGCTACGGCTCCCCGTGGCTCGGTCGGTGCGCCGATCATTGACCTGCTGGGGCATTCCGTAACCCGACCGGTGCGCGACCGACTCCTGACCTGCTACGGCTCCCCGTGGCCCGGTCGGTGCGCCGACCCCTGACCTGCTACGGCTCCCCGTGGCCCGGTCGGTGCGCCGATCATTGACCTGCCGGGGCATTCCGCAACCCGACCGGTGCGCGACCGACCCATGACCTGCTACGGCTCCCCGTGGCTCGGTCGGTGCGCCGATCACTGACCTGCCGCGGCATTCCGTAACCCGACCGGTGCGCGACCGACTCCTGACCTGCCGCGGCCCCTCGTGGCGCGGTTTAGCCGTGCACTGAGGCGCCACCTATTACGGATCCCGCGCTCACTGTGTTGTGTTGTGTCTACCTATAAGAGGTTGCATGTGGGTGCGAGATATTGTGCGTGTGTGTGTGTTGGCTTTTTGTTGCATCTGACATTTTAAAGGCTAAATTGTAAGTATTTGTTCAAAGGTTTTGAATGAATGCATTGAGCAATACATTGGACTATGTCAAGTGTGTATCACTTATAAAGCGACGAACTGAGTCACCAATTCGTGAACGGATCAGTACATTGGACAATTTCAAGTGTATATCACCTATGCAGCGACGAACTGTGAGTCACCAATTCGTGAACGGATCAATACATTGGACTATATCAATTGTATATCACTTATACAGCGACAAACCGTGAGTCACCAATTCCTAAACGGATCAGTACATTGGACTATGTCAAGTATATATCACCTATACAGCGACGAACTGTGAGTCGCCACTTCGTAAACGGATCAATACGTTGGACTATGTCAAGTGTATATCCCTTACACAGCGACGAACTGTGAATCACCAATCCGTGAACGGATCAATACGTTGGATATTGATCCGTTCACGTCAAGTGTACATCCCTTACACAGCGACGAACTGTTATAGTCACCAATTCGTGGACGGATCCATACATCGGACTATGTCAAGTGAGCATGACATCACTGCAGTTGTAACTGCCTCCGGTATCCCCAGCCCCACTCCATTCCTGACCGTCCCTCCCATGCCCACAACACAGACACCGACCTCGTCTGGGGCTGAGGCAGCGGACTGAGGGAGGCGCTTTGGGAGGACTTCTGCACGGGCTTAGCCGGCCCGTGAACGTCTCGTCAACTGTCGATGCTGCAGCAGAGGACAGCTCTTTAATGACTGCTGTGACAACAGAGGGCGTTCCGTCAACAGGCAACGCTGCGACGAAGATCGCATCGCAGACGATTCATCCATTGGAAAAGGTCATGACCCTTATCGCTGGCGCAGGACAAAGAAGGCATCGAAAACGGCTGCCACTGTTACAAAGAACGCCTTTTAGAAATCAATTCTGTGTGAGGACATCTCGGCGAATGTTTATATTCCCATAAAGGGTGCCACGCCACCGGTGTACGCATCGCAACGAGTGCCAGTATGTGGTTTTAGCGCATTAGGTACGACTTCGTAGTCAAGCAAGAGCTGCGCAAGTGTACCCACAAGTGCGCTGCCCTTTATCACCAGTGTGGCACCTGGAAGTTTGTTTTACCCAAATGTCAATTGTGGTGGTTTAAATTGGGTCTGAACGGCCGCGTGGGAGTGCACGAATGATGCATCAAATAACTTGAAACTGATGGTGAAATTGGGCACAAACGCGTTGAAATAATCATCTTCAGCGGTTGTCACCAATCAGTCGGTCGGCGGAGTAAGACGATGGTAGACGCTGGCATGCTCCACTACGCATCCTGCTTCCACAGCTACACGGACTTGACTTGACCCAATGAGGCTGAGCGCCAGGCTGTGACGAGCCCCATCAATTTGAACGCGCAGCTAAGTCTCATACACGTTAAAAACAGACAACTGCCGTGTTTGGGATCGGTGCTGACACTGCCGTGTTTGGGATCGGTGCTGACACTGCCGTGTTTGGGATCGGTGCTGACACTGCCGTGTCTGGGATCGGTGCTGACACTGCCGTGTTTGGGATCGGTGCTGACACTGCCGTGTTTGGGATCGGTGCTGACGTTGACAACTGCCGTGTTTGGGATCGGTGCTGACACTGCCGTGTCTGGGATCGGTGCTGACGTCGATCGTCACCCGAAGAGACGAGGGGAGGGGGGAGGGGGGAGCCGTGTTTGGGATCGGTGCTGACACTGCCGTGTTTGGGATCGGTGCTGACGTTGATCGTCACCCGAAGAGACGAGGGGAGGGGGGGGGGGGGGAGGGGGTTTACTGCCATTTTACTGGCGTCATTAATTGTGTTACCTTTTTGAAGCGGAAGCGACCGTTGTGTCTGCAGTATATCCTGCAAGCACTGGTCCATCACCTCGTCCCTCTCTTTTGACGCGAGCGGACGCAGGTTCGATCTTGGTACGACCTCCTGAAACAGAGTCCGGTTTCCACTCAAAGGACCATGAGCGCGCAAAGTGCGGCTGCCCACTTCAACGAGCGTGCTCGAACATTGGCCTTTTTGCTGCGGCACCGAAAGGCCGAATCACCTTTCGCCTCTGTGATGGCGTTTAAGCAGCGGGAGTTGGACGAGGATGCAGCCTTATCAGGCAAGAGGGAACATGACGCAAGCCACAAAAGAAAATGTGATGTTGGTGGATGAAATCATTCCTGAATATCTTAACCAATTTGTCAGTACTGCCACCTGGATATGTTCAGTACAATTAACGGTTTAGGCAAGCTTTAGATGCTCTAGTGTTAAGCAACACCGTAAATGCACAGACGGACATGACAGTGATCAACATCTTTATCTGTATAAATGCCGTTGTGAATAACTGAACTACTCGAGATAGAACATTGAAAGCATGCGCTCCCCTATTGGAGAGGTTATATCTGGCCCGCTACCTGAATGCCGTGTGCCATTCCTTCGAATCGCTGACTGAGCGACCGCCTAATATATCAGATACCTGGTACAAGCACGTGTGGCTCATAAAAGAATATGAGCCTGATATTGATCGGCCACAACCGGACTTTGATGGGCATTCCAGTAACTGGCTACGACAGGCTGGCATAACTTTCTTCGCCGGCAACTGGCTGGGAACGCTTAGCGTCATGTTGGCCGAACGACATCAGGTCTCCAGACGGTTATGCTTCCAGGTCGTGATAGCGCTACAATAAGACACAAAACAGAATGTAACATCAGACATAAAGACTCATATCATGGACTTGACTTCCTTTCCAGTTAAAAGCGTTGCCGAACATATCCGCATTAAATTTTCCCATCACAGTTGTGGCCGCCTCTCCCCTCAAATGTTTTGAACCCGTACGCGCTGGCCAGTCCCCGCTCAACTGTGAACCACAGCATTACCAGCTCCCGCTCGAGCAGCGTCCGCAGCTCCCGCTCGCGCAACGTCCGCACCTCCCGCCCGCGCAACGTCCGCAGCTCCCGCCCGCGCAGCGTCCGCAGCTCCCGCTCGCGCCGCGTCAGCAGCTCCCGCCCGCGCAGCGTCCGCAGCTCCCGCCCGTGCAGCGTCCGCAGCTCCCGCCCGCGCAGCGTCCGCAGCTCCCGCCCGCGCAGCGCCAGCAGCTCCCACCCGCGCAGTGTCCGCAGCTCCCGCCCGCACAGCGTCCGCAGCTCCCGCTCGCGCCGCGTCAGCAGCTCCCGCTCGCGCAGCGTCAGCAGCTCCCGCTCGCGCAGCGTCAGCAGCTCCCGCTCGCGCAGCGTCCGCAGCTCCCGCCCGCGCAGCGTCAGCAGCTCCCGCTCGCGCAGCGTCAGCAGCTCCCGCCCGCGCAGCGTCCGTAGCTCCCGCCCGCGCAGCGTCTGCAACTCCAGCTCGCGCCGCGTCAGCAGCTCCCGCCCGCGCAGCATGCGGCTGTCCGTAGCGTCGTGTCGGCCCGTACCACAATCCGCGCCGACTCGTGTATGTCGCCGAAGTCGAACTTGATCGAACGGGGCCAGGCGATGGGCGGCGGACTGCGAACCAGGTGCGAGTGGATCTCGGCCAGCGCCAGCTCCTTGTTACACGCCGGGTCCTGCGGGCGCAGCGAGTCACGGCGTCACGCTCGCTCCGGCGCGTCACGCTGCGGGTATGCGTGACGATGTCCCAGGAATGCGATGGCGTGTCCTTATCGTTGGTCAGCGCTGAGCCGAGTGAAGTGCACAGACAAAATGGCGGCGCCATGTCAATACTATTGTCTCAGAATGGCCATTTCACCGCATCGAACAGCAAACATGATCTTACGAGAAGAAGTTGCCGAGCGGAAGTTTGGGGTATCGCACATCACGCTGCTCTAACAAAGGCACTCAATCCATAGTTTTCTGTCCCTTCGATCCACTGCAGCAGACTGCGACGACCAACCAACCGCTGGTTGCTCGTCTGCAATCCTGTTGCCATTCGTATAAACATTCAAGCCAACATTTCAGGTTCAGCTGTTCCGCTGACGACAGTTTTAGCACTGATAGGCACTTCGATCCCTATAAACGAGCTTTCATCACCCATCCGAGCCAAAAGAGCGCAAAAGCGGACCAAACAGCCGGACCCTCAGTCCTATACAACAACGCGTCCAGACCAGCGGTGGGCCCCGGACGGGGTCCCGTGCCTGCACTGACCTGGACCACCAGCTGGCTGTCGTCGGTCTGATCCTCGTCTGGCAGCTCCTCTCGGCTGCTGTGCAGTCGCTGCAGGAACGGGTTGTCCTGGCGCGACATCTGCAGCCGCTGCAGGTCCTGGCGCGTTAAAGGAGGCGTGTTAGTGGGTCAGCGCGAGCTAGCGTCGTCACAGCGCGGGCTAGCGCAGTTACAATGAAAAGAAAAGACCCTCTTTAAAATATCAAAATATCACGGGACTTGTGACGTCATATGATGTCATCCTGAGTAGAAATGAACGACCGCCCAAGGTGGGCTATAAAAGTATTTCGCGTCCGAGGTGGGCCAGGGAAACGGCACACACTGAGGGGTTCATTATTTCGGTGACGTCACGCCCATTGTGCATGTCATAACCAGCCAGCCAGTCGCCATGTGTTGATCACGCTACCCGGCGCGGCGCCGTGTCTACACGTGCGGGCCGGGACTCTCCAGCCATGCGCCGTGTGTTTGCCATGACTTGTCAACATAGCGCCAGGCGCCGGCCATGACCTGCCAGCCCCCCCCCCCCCCCCCAGTCGCGGCAGGGGTGGTGCCCTTAGCGCCGCACCTGCTCGATGTTGACGATCGGTTCCGGGCCAGGTGCGGCGTCATCGCTGACCGCGCCAGCCTCGCGCGGCGACGGCGGCTCTGAAACAGGCCGATCGATCTGACACAGTGCCTCTCAATAGCGGCCCCCGCGAGGCGGCGGCTCAGCGACACGTCCGGAGGCAGAGCGATGGCGGGGCGTCGGGGGAGCAAACACGCCGCCAGTGGTGCTTTGTTGTCTGATGGGCGGAGACGGGCTTTGGACACAGTCGGGATCGCATACAAATCGTGCATAAGCGATAAATGACACAGTTCTACCAGCTATAGCGCAGCATACCGATGCTATACCTTTCCATGACGGGTGGGTAAACTAAAAAAGACGGTAATAGGGATAACTAGATTTTTTGCAACCTTATTTGCTCCTAAAACCACTTAAAACGGTTATTTAAATGGGAGTATTTACCGCTCGAACCAATGAAAACTATTGGCAATATTGCAACGTTTACAAAACTTCACGCTGACGTCGCCAACACCCAAAGGCTTGCAGTGTTTTTTATGATGCACAAGGTTACCAATGTAAGAGAACCTTGTTTAAAAGCATCGCTTTCCTTGTATCAGCTTAATGCTACGGCAAACAGTTTTGCATAATTGTCCCAGACCAAAGAGCGAACTCCTGGTAAAACGAATAATACAGGGCCTTCCAGGAAAAGTGGACCGGTTTGAGTCATTCATAGTTCAGGTATTGATTTGATTTGTAACACAAATGCTGCACCAATTGCGGAAGTCGCTGACGTGGCATGTCTTCGCCGCAGACTTAGTGCAGAGCCGCCCAAAATTTGTAAGGCACGGCTAAGTACCGTTTAGCCATTGTGGTCACTACAGTCCCTCGCTGTCCTGAGATCAGTAGACGCCACTGACGCCACAACTGTTTATGCGCCACGCGGTGCACTTTTCTCTGTGCGGGAGTACTTTGAGAACCTCACCGGGAGGCCCGGTAGATCAAAACGGTGGTTTTCGCTGTTTTCACCGCCTACATGAAAGCGCGCAACATCGCTAAATCTCGTTGGTGGAGCTAGAGTTGACTTCGCACGGTCGAAGGAAGGAGGCAGTGCTGCACACGAGCGCGTTATAGCCGGTTGGTGAGGGCTTCTAATGTTATCTTACTTTGCATGGTAAAAGACTGAGCTATGACCCGGCCAGCCTCAACAACGTAGCACTGTTACAGC